TTATTCTGCAGGCTATAATGCTGCTCTTTTAAAAATAAGTTTTCTGTGATACTTCAAAAAAAAAATATCACTCTTCATCCTACTTATTTTCAAGACAAGAACCTTACCCCAAAGTGTCTGAACTCCTGATGGAAAACTATGGGGCAATTGCTAGTTTCAGTAACTGTGTTAACATCTTCCACCTGGGTTTTTTCTGAAGCTGAAATAAATGTATTTGTCCATTTTACTTAAAAGAGCACAATTCAGTTTTCCTATTCCATGGTTTTATCCAAGGTTAGAGCTGGGCACAGTGTATTACAGGCCTTTTTTTTAATTAGAAAGGCTGTGCTCTTCTCAGCACTTCAGTGGCAGCGTAAGTTGTTGACTTGTGTGTGTTTGCCTTTCCCAAGTTTGTGGAAGCAAGGGCACTTGTGAGCTGACAGGGCTAGCAGGCATAGGGCAGGAAAAAAATGTCAGTACACAATACAGTCTCTCAGAGAACTAGCAATAGAAAGTTACTGGACTTATTCTTTTACACCACAAAGAAACCATGATCTGACCTTGAAATTTTTCTGGCTATTAAAATTCCATTTATAGTAATGGATTTGTTTGGATACGGCTCAGAGTAATTTGTGCAAAGTATTGCTTAAATGGTAGAGTTGGCAGTAGCATTACAGATTGTAAAGTTTTTTTACCTACCAAAACCTCATGAGTAATAACAAACTGCAATGATTTCAGAGCTAGTGGAGTAGTTTGCACACGGTATTAGGACAACAGCAGACTTGCGTAAGCAACGGTTCAGAAAATAAGTCATTTTAAACCCACCTGGCAGCAGCAGCATCTTAGTTTGATTTTACAGCTATGCTTCTGCTGCTGTGGATGGAGCATTACTACTCTATGTAGCATTCTTCCATAGTTACAATTTTGTATTTAATTTTGTGAAACTTTCAGCATTTCAAGAGCCCCACTAATGAGGTTCATTTCAGTAGCAAATGGTAAGTGGGGGAGAAGCTTGTGTGTCATGTATCTACTTCACTTTATGGTTATTTTTGTTACACATTATTTGCGTTACCTTTTCAGCCATCATAATTCTCAATATTCTGAACTCACTCTTTTCTACTTCTACTATTCATCACTCAGACTAATCTCTCTGGGGAAACCTGCTTGCTGCTTAACCTTTCACCCCTGTGTTAAACAGCTGATTTTTCTAGCTACTGATCCAGGCACAGCAGGTTAAACTTGTTTTTTGTTTTTAAAGGCAGGGGAGATGTGTGGTCAAAGGAAGCACAGCAGGTCTACAGTGTGTAGAAGGATAATGCTCTTGTCATAAATGTCTGCAAACCTTTCATGTATCAGCACTGGAACTGAAGTTGAGTTACAATTAAGTTTCAGTATGAGGACTTGCAGTGTTCCGATGTGAGGAAATGACTCTTCTGAAGCCTTGTTAAAGGGTATTTTTATATGCCCTTTTCATGTCCAGAGCTAGAAGCTAGACATTTAGTACTAATATTTGATTTACAGCATGATCTTTTTTAACTAAGAGTGTACTTCATCAGCTTTTTTTTTTTTTGAACAGTTTAAATTAAATACAGATGAATTGTACATGTTACACTATTTTTCTGAAAGCCTTTCAAAGGTCACAAAACACAACAGGTGAAGACATTTGTTAAGTTACTATATTTAGCTTCAAGCAACTAATTTTTCTTTTTTCTCTTTTTTGCAGCTTTATAGCAGTGGAGAACATAGACAGCTACTGTGTTCTCATCTCATCTAAAGCTGTTTATTTCCTGAAGAGTGGTGATTACACAGACCGTGAGGCCATATTCCTCGAAGTCAAGTATGATGATCTCTACCACTGCCTTGTTTCAAAAGACCATGGGAACGTGTACATACAGTTGACGAAGAAAGCTGTTAATACCAGTAGTGGTGTAGCTATGCCAGGCCCATCACAACAGAAACCAATGGTAAGGATCTAGCACCTACTGTTTCATTCATGTGGGGCTTTCTTTTCCCCTTTATGCCTGTAGAGGTGCCCAAGTGTTCGTGGTCATTAGTGTTTGTTTCCTGCGCTGCTTAACAATGAAAACCTTGTTCTGCTAACAGTGAAACTAGGGGCCACTGGAAAGGTTGGGGTGACAGTATGACTTGCTCCCCAAAGTCCTGAGAAAAGCTGAAGGCACAATCTAAGATACTTCCGCAGGCAGAAAAGTTACAGTAGGAAATGTCAATTTACTTGGAAAAGGCTTTTAACTTTACAATATGTACATGAAACTTAAGTACTTTCCTGCTTATTTAGTCTTCTGTTCCTATAAATACTAAGATCAGAGTGTGTCATACGTGTACAAGTCAGCCAGAACTCTTACGTATAACACTCACTGCAGTAGTTGTGTGGGGGTCAGTTTTACAGGCAAGATTACAAGCTCACCCCTGACCCATGTCAGTTTACACTCCAAACAGAAGAGCCAGATAAAAAGTAGGAGGGGAAGTGAAGGAGGTAACTTAAGATGTTGCAAGATGTTTCTGCTCTCATCCTACAGTACCTATCAGTATTTACCTGTCTCTGCCTCTCAGTTCTTCCTTACTTCAGCCTGAGAAGGAATTACCACAGAAACATTTCTGTTCCTTACAGGAGACTTCAGAGCTAACCCCTTTGGTTAGTGAAGTGATAAAAATAACTGTATTCTGGTTTAGGTGACAGCACTACCACATTATGAAAAATGTTTCTGTTTGCAGGTGAATGTGAAATCTGAAGTTCTTGCAGTAAAGCTGTCTCAAGAAATAAACTATGCAAAGAGCCTTTATTATGAACAACAGCTTATGTTAAGACTCAGTGAAAATCAAGACCAATTAGAGCTGGACTCTTGAACCTCTTTCTACTGCCAGAGTGAACTGCAATTACTGGTCTGGAGCTGATGGTATTCTGTCACTAGAGAAAGTCCTATATGGTAAGGAAATTGATTGTAGTATTCAGCTAAATGGATCACTGTGTGATGTAAGATGTGTGTGTAAGAAAAGGGAGGTGGGTGCGGTGGGCTTGCTTTCTTTTTTTTAAGCATTAGTTGTATAACAAAGATATAGTTGAAATGCATTTGGTTCTGGGACATGCCCTGTATTTTGCTAACATGTATATATGTAAAAGAGTTCCATGTAAATAAGAAAGTACAGACAGTACAGGGTGTTGGTATAATTAGAAGTCTGTTTACTGTGTAAAGAAATTAAAGGAGCTATCAGAGTCTTACTGCACTACCTGAAACTAGACATTGTGTCTCTTCTTTGTCTCTTGAGAAAGCTGATTTTTACAGTGCAGGAACATAGATAAATGTTTAAAAGGTAAATTAACAGTTAAATTGCAACTGTTGGTACATGGCTGTCCTGTGGGTTGGAGCTTTAGCTCTGTGATTAGGGTGCATTGGTTAGGGTTGGTTTCCTTAAATGCACATCTACCTGCTGCTCACTGAAATGTCATCCTCATTTTTAACAAAAAACCCTGCATTTTGTTAAATGTTGCAATGAGGACTCACTAATTCAGTTACATTTTCAAACTATTAAGACAATAAAAAGCTGATTCTGCTCCAAAACCAGCACTCATCCCTTGCAAAGCCGCACTACTGAAGACCCCTGCTCCTCAGCTGCTTTTAGAGTAATTCAAGTGAGCAGCCTTGGCAACTGAAATCTTTAACTCCAGTTTTTCTCTTCATTAGGACTAGTATAGAATTCTGCTAGTATTGGGAATGCTGGGGATGAGGGGAGAGAAAACCACTGTGTCATTTGTCTTCATGACAACCTCTTCAAAGTTAAGCTTTTGAAATAATAGAAGTAACATAAAAATAACATGCTTTTTCAAATGTTGTACATCCAATTACTGTTTGTCTCATTAATATGAACCAAACAGAAGACTGAGGAATGAGTTGTACTTATATACCTGTATGCACAGAAATAAGGAGATCTCATCCATGTGTTCGCTCCCTGGAGATGGTTCAGGGCTGCGTGCAGGACAGTGTTTTGCCCTGCACAACACAGCTTTCCTACAGCGCCTGAGTAACCTACATTCCCTTTGACTCAAAGTAAGAAGCCCAACATAGCTTTATGCTCAATTTTGTTTAGCTTTTAATATGCTTTTGCAAAGGCATACAGAAATACTTTTAAACTGCAAGTTAGAATGAAACCAGTTCCCACCTCCTGTAAAGTGAGAAGTGGAGGATTGTGTAAGGAGAAAATGTTGCATCAGCAGATGTGTGTTTAGTGTGTGACTGGAAATTAAATCCATAAGGTCCATTACACAAATGAAACTGGTTTAATGCAATACTTTTGTCTACTCCACATATTTTTTAAGTAAAATGCAGAATTCAACCAGTGCATTGGCTCAACAGTGCTTTAACATGTCAGTCTCATTGGACACCACTGCCAAAGTCCCTGCTTCTCTCCCCTGTAATAGTCTTTTTTAATGCAGCAAGTATCAAGCTGCTGAAGATGGTATGTAGATGGAAAAGGAAAATAAAAAGTAATTTACAGCTCTGTGTGGAGAATTTACAGGCAAATGGCTTGAATACTTAAGTTTTGTAACAACTGAGTAAGGAGCTGATGTGCAAACATCTGAAGAACAGTGTGAGAGTACACCCTTTGAGCTACCTGACCTCAGGGAACCACAACAGAGAATGGATCTAATTTGTGTAGCTGTTTATTTCTTTTGGACTGTGCTTAACCTGTTCTTTTGACTGCTGGAAATGATTAAGCACAACATTTAAACCTTTGAAAAGTATACCCCACAAAACTAGAGTTTATGAGTACCATGGTCATAAGTGGCTTAGGTTAGCCCAGTACGTTAGGATCCTGCTCCCAGTGCTGTGCTCTTCTCAGTACAGTGGATGGAGTTCCGCACTTACTTGCCTATGGACAAGGCCAAGTTTTTCTCTTAACAATACAAGCCCAGTGCTGATGACAAGGAGCGATGTACAGGCAGAGCTGGAAGAAGCATATTGCCTCACTTAGTGTTCCAAACGAAACTGAATCAGAACTGTTGGTTTTTTAAAGTGCAAATGCTGTTATTTATTGCTGCAACCCAACTATTTTTATAGAATTTCAGAACTCTTACTGTGGACTTCCTATTGCTATTGGCACTACTACCATTATTACTCAGTGAATAAATACAACTTTCAGATTCCAGGGGCCATACTCAAAAATAGTTTTCAGAGGATGCAGAGAGTAAAGTTCACGTCTCCAGCTCAAACATAAGCAGTAAGCAGGCAAAGAAATGTAACAAATTTACTGAATAGTGCAGGTCTTCAGGGTCTGAGTCTTATGTATGCTTACCATACTGGTTTCATTGGAGGAGGTGTGACTGCTACAGCAATGAAAGCAGATTCAATCTTCAAATTGTAGAAGCAGGGGAGGAAAAAAAATCCCTGATGAGAGACAGGAACACAGCTTTCTGACCCTGTCCCCCATCCTTAGCACATAGCCAGTACAATTCAGGGAGGACAATGCTTCCTCATGCTTTTTTGCTCAGGTCTTTATAAACAGCTGTTCACCTTCACACTCTAATAAAGATTAAATTCCCCATTAGCTTTGATTTTACCTGTATTTTTCTGAGAACTGTACAACTTGTTCTCTCTCTACCCTGCCCAGCTTTGTTTTCTTGCTGGAGTTGCTACTGAAGGAATGTAAAACAAAGATTAATGACGTAAGAGTTATTTCACAGTAATTCTGGAGAAGTGCAGTAAATTGATTCCACCCACCCTCTTCATGTGCCCTTCCTTACAAAACCATTAATGGTGTGCAGGAACAGAAAATTACTGTAGAGAACAGGAATGAATAATTTTCTGAGAGACTGGAGTGGCAAAGCCTTCAAGACTGCTCTTATATCCTCCAGTTCTGATGTCTGCGGTAAAAGCTGGACAATGCCCTGGAATGTTGGCTGTCACTGTAGGTCAAACCTAGACTTACTTACACTGCATTGCTCTGACCTAAACACTTAGGTGATCTGCCTTTGAGATGATCTGATTCATCCAAAAGTCATTTCAGAGTGGGAAATCAGATGCCAAGGTACTTAAACTTCAATGAAAAAGCACATCTTATAAAATAAAATCCAGACATCTTTTGTGCCAGAGTTAAGGCAAACAAGACATTTCCAAAATATAATGGACGTTTCCAAATTATAACTTAATATACTTTTACCTGGGAAAAATGCATCCTAATATTCCTAACACCCAGCCCCAGTGTGCTGCTGTCACTATAATGAGACAGACTTGCGACTGAATTAGGTAAGCAAGTTTTTAATATGCAAGATATGCAGAAGAACACAAATGGCAATGTCATTTTAGTCTAGTAGACTTCTGGACTAGTAGAATTATATAAGTCCTTCCTGATCTGACCTAAATCCACAGCAGCGGCTGCAACCCTGTATTTTGTTGCCCTGTGTCTGACAAAGACACGAAAACATGGAGAATTACAGTTCTAAGATCATACTGGCTTTATCTCTATGATGTCCTCATGGCCAGTGGGAATGCAACAAGGTCAGTTTTTTTGCTGAGGAAACAAGGTATTACTGGGAACCAAGCTGATTACTGGGAACAAGCTAATACTGGGTACCGCAAAAATACAAAGGTACAGGGCATGTCTGCATACTACAGCTGCTAAAATGGCAAACCCCACACCAGTCACCACTACCTCATTCTGCAACCAAATGTAATTCCTGGAGATAGTCCTCAGCTGGTAGCAGGATCTGGCACTGCAGAGGTGGGCCGAGTGGATGAGGTGCGTGCCCACTTGCTGCTTCTGGAAGAAGAGCAATTAATTGCTTTCTGAAGCCACAGAATAAACCGGAAAAAAAGTGTAACTTTTTGACACTTTACTCCAACCAGGGGTGAGATCCTACCTGTACGTACACATTTCAGTATGGTATGGTCAGGTTGAAACGTTCTTTGTTATAGATGTGACTGGTTCATTTGTGAGCGACCAGGAGCACGGCAAACAAGGCAGGCAAACTGTGCGTGGCACAGCAGTCGGGGAGCACAGTTCCTGCAGGCAGGTGAGCGGGATGGTGAGCACTCGCCTCATGGGCAGGGCCCGGTCTGGGAGCTTTGCTCTGGCTGCCCCAGCGGTGGCAGCGTAGGCACCAGACAGAGCAGATGAGAGGGGAGGCTGCAGCGCAGAGCTCGGGGTGCAGAGAGTGCCTGCACTGGTCTGGTGAGGGGAGGGGGCACAATGGGCAGGGCTGCACTCAGTGCTCCCTGGTGCAGGTCCTCCTGCAGCAGGGGCTGAGCTGCAGGGCACCGTCAATAGGATAAACGATGTCAGGGTAGCCGATGCTGCAGGCCCAACCTGTCCAGGGGCCTCAAGCTTCCCCTCTAGCTCGTGGAGGAAAGAAGGAGGCCACTGACCCAGAAAGCTGGGAACTAATAACAAAACAAAACTACAAAAAAAGCAGGAAGAGGACAATCAAAAGCAAGGGGCTTCCTCCTAAATCTGTTGTCCCCATCCAGAACCACTTTGTAGTTCTGCAGGGATCTAATGAGGAAACGCACTCGCACCATGAACTGCCGCCTGATGCACTGGTAAAGGAGATCTCTGCTGGTGCTGCCAGGAAAAAGCGGTGGGTCATAGTAGTCCCTACTTTGAAAGGAACAGAGGCACCCAATGTCGGCCTGACCTGGTCTCAAGGGAGGTGTGTTGCCTACCAGGGGCTCGGATCAGTGATGCTGCGGAGAGGCTGCCTGCTCTAGTAAGTCCCATGGACTGTTACCCACTTCTAGTGACCCATGTGGAGCTAACAATACAGAAAGCAGTAGGAGAACATAAAGAAGGACTAGAGCCCTGGGAGAGGTGGTTAGGGGCTCTGGCACTCAGGCTGTCTTTTCATCAATTCTCCATGATAAAGGGGAGGACCTTAAAAAGGCTAGATTGGACAGGTTAACAAATGGTTAGAACACTTGGTGCCAGTCAGGGGTTTGGGTATTTAGAACACGGGACTCAATTTGGGAAGCCAGGTCTACTGGAGGCTGGTGGAGCTGGTCTAAAGGAACGAGAAGAGTGGTTTTGGTAGGAGGCTTGCCAGACTGGTCAAGGATGCTTTAAACTGGATGTGTTGGGGGAGGAGGGCATCGTTCCATCCCAACACACCCAGTCAGTTGTCAGCACCTATAATAAATGCTCGGAGCAATGTAGTGATATTCCAGCTGCTCCAGCCAATGAGCCGGCTGCATTTGGAGCTGGGCTCAGATGCCTCTGTGCAAATGCCCGTAGCATGGGGGACAAACAAGAGGAATTAGAGATGTGGGCACGTCTACGGGGGTATGATATAATGGGCATCACAGAAACATGGTGGCACGGCTCCTATGACTGGAGTGTTGGGATGGAAGGTTACAGGCTCTTTAGAAAAGGCAGGCCCGGCAGGCGGGGAGGGGGAGTTGCCCTTTATGTTAGGGATAGGCTGGAGAGTACGGAACTCTGTCTGGGGACAGGTGAGCAGCCCACAGAGAGTTTGTGGGTCAGGGTTAAAGGGAGAACATCCATGGGAGACATTACTGTGGGGATCTGTTACAGACCCCCTGATCGAGAGCACTCTGCGGATGAAGCGCTCTGTAGACAGACAGGAACAGCCTCATGCTCACGGGCCCTTGTTCTCATGGGGGACTTCAACCACCCTGGTATCTGTTGGAGCGACGGTACGGCCCAGCACAAGCAATGCAGGAGGTTCCTTGATTGTGTGGAAGACAAATTCCTTCTGCAAGTAATAGAGGAGCCGACACGGAGAGGTGCCATGCTTGACCTCGTGCTCACCAACGGGGAAGGGCTGGTTGGAAATGTGATGCTCCAGGGCAGCCTTGGATGCAGCGATCATGAGATGGTTGAATTTGAGATCCTCAGGACAGTGAGAAGAGCGTGCAGCAAGCTCACTGCCCTGGATTGCAAGAGAGCAGACTTTGGCCTCTTCAGGAACCTGCTTAGTAAGGTTCCATGGGATACAGCCCTAGAGGGCAGGGGGCCCAAGACTCTCGGTTGATATTCAAGGATCACCTCCTGCAAGCTCAGGAGCGTTGCATCCCAACTAGAAGGAAGTGCAGCAGGAGGGCCAGGAGACCTCCTTGGATGGATAAGGAGCTGCTGAGGAAACTTAGAGGGAAAAAAGAGGCTTGTAACAGGTGGAAGCAAGGACAGGCAGCATGGGAAGAATACAGGGATGTTGCCCGGGAAGCTAGGGACCAGGTTAGGAAAGCTAAGGCTCAGTTAGAATTAAACTTGGCTAGGGATGTGAAAGGTAACAGGAAGGGATTCTATAGGTACGTAGCGAATAAAAGACAGACTAGGGACAACATGGGCCCTCTCCAGAAGCTATTGGGAGAACTGGTTACACAGGATTTGAAGAAGGCTGAGGTTCTGAATGACTTCTTTGCCTCGGTCTTCACTGGCAAAGGCTCTGACCAAACCACCCAAGTCTTGGAAGGCAGACGCAGGGACTGTGAGAATGAAGACCCTAGGCCCACTGTAACAAGAGAATCTGGTTCAAGACCATCTTAAGAACCTGAATGTGCACAAGTCCATGGGTCCTGATGAGATCCATCCCCAGTTCCTGAAGGAGCTGGCAAATGAAGTTGCGAAGCTGCTGGCCATCGTATTTGAAAAATCATGGCAGTCAGGTGAAGCTCCCGACAACTGGAAAAAGGGAAATATAACCCCCATTTTCAAGAAGGGGAAAATGGATGACCCGGGGAATTACAGAGCAGTCAGTCTCACATCTGTGCCTGGCAAAATCTTGGAGCAGATTCTCCTGGAAGGCATGCTAAGGCACATGAAAAACAACAAGGTGGTTGGATAAAGAACTGGCTGGATGGCCACATACAAAGAGCTGTGGTCAATGGCTCAATGTCCAGCTGGAGACCAGTAACAAGTGATGTCCCTCAGGGATCGGGGTTGGGACCAGTCTTGTTCAACATCTTTGTCGCTGACATGGACAGTGGGATTGAGTGCACCCTCAGCAAGTTTGCCGATGACACCAAGCTGTTGATAACACTGGAGGGAAGGAATGCCATCCAGAGGGACCTCGACACCCTTGTGAGGTGGGCTGATGCCAACCTCATGGAGTTTAACCATGCCAAGTGCAAGGTCCTACACCTGGGTTGGAACAATCCCAGGCACAGCTACAGGTTGGCAGAGAAGAGATTCAGAGCAGCCCTGCGGAGAACGACTTGGGGGTTGATGAGAAACTTGAGGGAGCTTCACTGCACTCCCAGCCCAGAAAGCAACCGTATCCTGGGCTGCATCAAAAGGAGCGTGACCAGCAGGTCGAAGGAGGTGATCCTGCCCCTCTACTCTGCTCCTGTGAGACCTCACCTGGAGCACTGTGTGCAGTTCTGGTGTCCTCAACATAAAAAGGACATGGAACTGTTGGAACAAGTCCAGAGGAGGCCACGAGGATGATCAGGGGACTGGAGCACCTCCTGTATGAAGACAGGCTGAGAAAGTCAGGGCTGTTCAGCCTGGAGAGGAAAAGGCTGTGTGGAGACCTCAGAGCAGCAGGTACTGCTGTGACAGGACAAGGGGTAACGGGTTCAAACTTAAACAGGGGAAGTTTAGATTGGATATAAGGAAAAGTTCTTTACTGTAAGTGTGGCAACGCACTGGAATGGGTTGCCCAGGGAAGTTGTGAATGCTCCATCCCTGGCAGTGTTCAAGACCAGGCTGGACAGAGCCTTGGGTGACATGGTTTAGTGTGAGGTGTCCCTGCCCATGGCAGGGGGGTTGGAACTTGATGATCTTAAGGTCCTTTCCAACCCTCACTATTCTATGATTCTTAGTTTTAGTAAATGTAGGGCTAGGACCAAATCACTTACATTTTCCCACTTTTATTTTGGATTGAGCTTTATTATAGTCTATTACAGCCTACTGGTAGCTGGCCTGTGCTCCGACAGCCTTACGAAAGGAACTGGGACAGCACAAGGACATCTTCCTCAATAATACCATAAACTTACCTACCTGAGAAAAGGGTTCATTACCAGAGGCCACAGGTCAGTTGGACTGAAGCATAAGCTTTTTGTAGCTCCCCAGCAGCAGATTTTCTGCAGTGGTAGAATGTGAGGACAAAGCACCTATGTACATACTTCTCACTCCTCACACTGGCCAGCTCTGCATGTGTCTCATAGGTGTAAGTGCAATGTAATCACATGAAGGGAGGCTTGCCAGAAAGAGACTGCCATTAACCACTGGCAAACACTGGGGGAGGAAATAAATTTTTTTTTTTTCTGTTTTCCTCAGTAGAATGACAGCACATTCTATACAGCCATAAAAATAATCTTGGAGCAGTTGCTGTTGCAGAAGAGCTGCATACCTACTGCATTATACCAGTGCTGGCAATGGCCTGGAGTGCACTGACAGTGCTTCAGTGCCATCAGACTCCAGTATCATAAGAGGGGTTTGCTGGGAATTTTGGGTGGGGGTTTGCCTTTGTGTTGTTTTTTTTTTTCTGTAGCTGACACACAAGCAATTACCTCAGCAATGTGCCCAGCACAAAGAGTTCTCTCCATGGACAAGAATAACCTTGCACCTCAGGCCTGCTCTGGTCTGACTCAGAAGTACTAAAAGGCCACAAGAAAAGTAAACAGCTTTCATGTGCATTTACATTTTGGATAAATGGCTGGGTCACCCAGAGGACAAGGACTGTGTATGGGAGCTATAGAACAACTGTTTCTGCACACTGAAAATGCCAGCAAAAAAAGTCTCCTGGATGTTGTAGCTGTAGAGAAATTTTAACAAATGGAAGAGAAATCTCTCATACCAACTATCCCACAACCCTTCAGACACAGCA